AAGGGAGTTCTTTATATTGTTGGCGGTGAATTTAGGTAAATTAGGGAGAACCCCTCACCCTTTTATCTTAGTGGGGTTTATTTTTTCCTATTTATTCCCTTCTATATCATTCTTCTGCTCAATTCAAGTAGAGCCATAATTGATAGCAGTGATTTCTTTACTACTTTTTAGTAGTAGATATGATCCAATTTCTGTACACATAGTTATCAAAAGCAGCAAGCAACAATATTATATTGTTGTAGGTGAACTTAGGGAAACTATGGAGAACCGCTCGCCCCTTATCCAAACTAGGTGGATTTTCCTGTATATTCCCTTCTATATTATTCTTCCGCTCAATTAAAGCAGGGCCATAATTGATAGCAGTGATTTCTTTACTATTTTTAGTCTTGGAGATGATCCAATTTCATACACATAGTTGTCAAAAGTTCAATTCTAGAACCTTAACCTGCTTGCCGTAAACTCTTTATGCTTTTGTTTTAAAGTTTTAATTGTTAATTCTCTATAGAGAAACAGATGGGATAAAAAAAAAGATCCAAGCCAAACACTCTCGTTCCCTTTTCCATAGGGATTTAAAAAAAAAAAAAATTTGCTGAATATTTAGTCGCCACTAAGTATATTTAGTCGCCACTAAGTTCGAAACATACGTGACTGCTAATCCCGTATATTTAGTCGCCACTAAGTTGGGGCTAATACGATCCGAAAACCTACCGGACTACTAGTCTCGTAGGTTTCGGGGATGCTCCACATGTTGTAGCTCATGGTTGATGGCCTCCTTTGTTGTCGTTTGGCGGGGCTCTCGTGAGCCGTGTGAACCCTTCTCCTTCTATCAGTCTTCTTCTCTGCTTTGTCAACAAAGAGCAAGTTAAGAGGAGAAAAAAATGCAAAGTCTTGTGGAGATAAGGTGAAGCGCAATCCTTGCCGACGATCAGCTCGGAGACACCATAGACTCCAACGGTGATGTTGGAGCAGTAATAGATTATTGCGGGGAGTCTGGAACGCTAGAGATAGAAGGTGGCGGCAACGGCCTGTTCGTTGGAAAATTTGCAATAAGAAAATGAAAGAATTGAATTTGATTTATTCCCTCTAACTGTTTAGAAAAAGAATGTTTACAACTCTCTCGATCTCTAACTGATTACAATTTGAATTTTTGATTACAAAAGAGAAGATGATCAATATAAATCATCCCCTTTGTTTAAGTCTGAGTTCTTCACGGTAGCGATGAGATGCCTCCCTCGAATGCTCGTGTCGAGTTTGCTTCTCGTTAACGATCCGAACGTCTTGAACTCGTGGAACATGGTTGAATCCTCTTGATTGATGTCGAGGATAACTTGCGTGGTAAGTTTGAAATTAACTCTTGACGAGTTAATGACTCAGAGCGAGTTTAGAAGAACTTGCAGAGTAAGTTTTAAACTCTGATCGAGTTAAAGAACTCTGAACGAGTTTAGAAGAACTTGCAAAGCAAGTTTTGAACTCTGATCGAGTTAAGAAGAATTCTTAGAAAGAGTTCACCAGCCAAGCCGAGTAATCTCAAAGACTTCAATCAAAGCCTTCCAAGATGATCCATGAGTTCCTCTAAGTTGCTGATCTCCAAAACTCCAAAAAGATCTGAAGAAGCCGAGTCGATCTCCCAAAAGTCAGATCCGAAAGATGATCTCCAGATCCAAAAGATGATTGCCAAGATCCGATCTATCAAAAAGTCAGCGATTCAACCCCTTAACTCAATTGAGTTTGTTGAGATTTTATAGGGGATTAAGGGTTGTAACTGCCCTCTTAATCCACTCCTAAGTGGGGCGGAAATCCCTCTAAACGTGGGTGAAAAACGGTTCCTGAAACCGTTCAGCTCGTGTTTGAACAAGTCAAACACCGAAAATGGCGTTCTGGGCCCGAACTCTGCGTTTTAGACCTGAAACGCAGAGTTGGGAATGCGCTTAAGGCTGAAAACGCAGTGTTCGCGCAGCGTTATGAATCTGAGATGCAGAAATGAACTCTGCGTTCTGAACCTGAGATGCAGAGTTGGGCTCTACATGAACTCTGCGTTTTGAGTTCACGAACTCTGCGTTTTGAGTCTGGAACGTAGCCATGAACTCTACGTCTGGACTTGAATGTTGGGGATGAACCCTGTGTTTTAAACTTGAAACGTGGGAATGACCTCTGTGTTTTCAACTGGAATGCTGGGTATGAACCCTGCGTTTTGAACTTGAACGCTGGGGATGAACCCTGCGTTTTGAACTTGAAACGCGGGCATGACCTCTGCATTTTGAATCTGGGATGTAGAGGTGTGCCTCAGGCGGTCTTGACGATCTTTAGGCTATGTTTAATGTTCAGGCAAAGTCCTAGTCTTGCAGACGGACTTCAGAACATAACTTGCTACGAAGAACATGTCATAACTTTCAAACTGTAAGTCGGAATTGGACGAATTATATATGAAAATCGGCTATCTCGACGAGACGAAGCCGATCAAACCTACCCCCAAAGGGTTTGGTTTTCTCCTTTCCGTTTTACCAAATTCCTTACGATTTTAGAGATATTTGCGTTTTGATTTGAAGAGATCGTCAATTTGTAGTCTCTTTTGCTAGAGCGTTGCAAAGATCGTCATATTATAACCTTCGTCTTTGCTCCTTGAAAATGTGAAAGTTGTCAGATTGTAACTCCTGATGTTGATTGTAAAGGCTGCTGAATTAGAGATTTCATCGGTTGTTGTGAAGGTCGTCGGATTGTAACATTCATCGATCTACGTGAAAGTCTTCAAATTGTAGTCTTTTGGAAGCCATCAAATTGTAACTTTCATCACCAGTATTTGATAGGGACAAACTATCAGCAGTAATTTTTAGACAGCCTACACG